GAAGTTTATTACAAAGTGATGAAAAGGATACTGTACAGTGGCTAGTCCACAAAACATGTAGCCATGTCTCTTTATTTGAGTGCCCCGTCATAGGAGTCCGTTTTCTCTCACTTCAGCACTCCTGAGTCGTCCGTTTTCTCTTAATCTTAGAGTGCACCAAAGACTTTGTTAATTCTTAGTAGTGACACAGAATTTGAAATTGCAACCCCAATTGCAACTGGGACAATCCCAGAACCAGAAATTTGATATGGACAGTTCAGATTTCGTCCGATTTATCCGAAATCCGGATTAAAGGGGTCCGAATTAACGAGGGTCGACTGTACTGTACAATTCATTAATATGTAGAATATTAAAACACACAAGAGGATAAGATATGACATTGTTGTCAGTGTTTACACTCAATGTATACGTGCGCAGTTCAGGAAACATAGTCCTTTATCTTAAGAATGTGTTCAAAAGATTCATTATTGTTTATTAGTGACATTATTACTGAATATGTATTTGATTGAATTAATGTTTATATATGTGAAATGAACAATGCAATTCATTAATAATACGTAGAATATTAAAACACACAAGAGGAGACAAGACGGCATTGTTTTCGTGAGTGACGATGGTTCTACATAAGAAACTGAAGAAAATAAGACCCTAGTTATAGCTGTAGTGAACTTAATTTAAAAAAATTGAATACCTGTATGTATGTTTTAAGTAATGCTATTCAATGTTAATAAATGGAACACTAGGAGTAGCTAACCAATAATGGTAAAGAAATAAGGCGAGATGATTGGGAACGCTAACGTATGAACAGTAAGTGCGTACATGTGAAAACATATCGTCATTTCTCAACATATGAATATGAAAGCAACACCTATTTACTGTTCATATATGTTTTAAATAATATTTACGAATGTAAAACTAAAATTCTATTCACCAATAGTGGTAAAGTTTAAAACATAAGGACAGCCAATGAATATTGTGCGAGTTTTTACTCAGATGACGAAGTCATGAGGTTCAACTCTGGCTGAAGCTGTAGGTTCAACTCTGGCTGAAGCTGTAGCTTTCCATAAAGCTGTTGCTGAAACTGTTACTGAACCTGAAGTTGATGTTGAAGCTGCTTATGATGCTGAATTTGATGGTGTAGCTAAAGTTGATGGTTTGGGCCTTCAAATAATAAAGCTCTCGAAAGAACCTTGCACAGCTGCTTTCTTTCTCATTATACATCTTTATGAAGACGTCATTTGCGTTTATTTAGATTTTAATGCATCCACTTCAGAAAATATGTCCATTGCTTGCTCCATATAATATCCACAAACCTTTCACCTTTTTCATATCGTTTTAAAACATCTAGTTTCTCGGCTAAGCTGACACTTTCTATTAGCTTTTGAAACAACACTACCATCACTTGCTCTCTTGCTCATGTTGAATAGGGATGCAAAAATGCTGTAAGAAACCTGAGAAAGTTTCTCTCCAGTTCCTGTTCCAGATGCATGAAAACAAAAGGTCCGCCAAGCTCCGACTGTTGTTTACCACTCATTACCCAGGCTGCTTCTTTGCGTAAGGCGCTCTTCATTTTTTTTAGTAATTCTTTCTTTTTATAATACTTATTGGGATATAGTTATTATTTATATGAAAATGTAATTTTATTTTATTTTTATTAGATTTTGGTAGTAAATACGAATGTAATAAGATGTAAACTGAATTGGGTCCTAAATTATCTAGGGTTTCAAATATGAAAAGTTGTTGGTCGAACCGTTGTTATCTGAGGCTTCCCTGTGTTGTCTTTAATTTCCTCAATTTTGTCCGCTTTATTTACATAAATTCCTCACATTTTGGTAAGTATATTAACAATTTATTACATAACACACTGGGGGCACAAGATTTTTAAAAAATACCTTGACCCTCCCCCCCTTCCCCCCCCTATAATTTTTCTCCTCAAATTTGTGTGATTCGTGTGGGTCGACCTTGAAGCTAAAAAAAATCCGGAAATCTGGAAAAAAAAACGTAAAACCACACTCCTGATCCACCTACAGTATTCTCGCTGACACCATCTGTAGGATCATCGAGGCTGCCATCATCCATGAACAACTAAGTTGGACTGGCCAAATGGCCATGTTCCTCACATGGACGACAATAGAGTGCCAAAGCAGCTACTTTACAGTTACCTAACGAATGGTAAACGTAATGCTGGCAAGCAACAGAAAAGGAATAAGGAGAGTCTAAAGACAAGACTGAAAAAGTGCCAAATCGATCTCCTCATTTGGGAGATGATCACTCCACACTGTAACGTTTGGAGGAACCACACGAGAAGGTGTCAATACACCTAGACCCCGACTTACGACGGGGTTAGGGACCCAAATCCAGGTCGTAAGTCCGACATGGTCGTAAGTCCGACATAGATAAATTTTTTTTTTTTTGTAATAAATAATCTACAATGAAATACAGTACAGTAAAAGTAATGAATAATGAGGAATGGATACAGTACAGTGAAAGTAATAAATAATAAGGAATGGTTACAGTGTGACTGAGCACTTACCTTTAATGTAGTCAGCTGAATGCACATGGGGCCCCCATAATTTTCTAATTATACATGGAGACTACATTAACTGGAAACGTTTCGGTATAGAAAATGCGTGTCATTTGAAGAAATTTTTTTTTTTTTTTTTTTAATAAAAAATCTGAGGCGGTCGTATGTCCCGACGGTCGTAAGTCCACGAGTCGTAAGTCGGGGTCTAGGTGTACTTTCAAGTTAGCCCATTGGCATACTGTGGCAAACAAGTGCCAGCGCAGAAAAGATGCTGCTGCAGCCCCTCCCACATTAGATGTAGCCCTCTGCATGGGCAACATCTGTGGACAGCCCTGCTGGTCCTGTATCAGTCTCTCGAGTCACCTCAGAGCTCATCAACAAAGGTGACATCTTTAATAACTCATATCATTGTATCATAACTGGATGATCATCGTACTTGTTTCCGAGTGACAGTAAAGTAATACAGGTTGACAACCCTTTATCCGAAATTCCGAAAACCCGAAAGCTCTGAAAACCGAAAGTTTTTTTTGTGGAGCAATTTTTTTTTATTTTTTAAACAGGGATTAGCCCACCCAGACTTAGATCACTGACCCACATCGGGGCCTGGGGGGTAGGGGGGGGGGCGAAAATGTGATAGTAATAATAATAATTATTCATAGTAAATAAAAAATTTAATAAAAAATACTGTACACCAAAATAAAATAATAATGATAACAATAATAATAATAATAATAATAAAATATAATAATAAAATTAATAATAATAATAATAATAATAATAATAATAATAATAATAATCATAATAATAATAATAATAATAATAATAATAATAATAATAATAATACTGTATTAATAAAATAATAATAATAATAATAATAATAATAATAATAATAATAATAATAATAATAATAATAATAATAATAATAATAATAAAGAAATACAAGAATGAAAAAAGATAAAAGTGAGAAACACGACCTAGACCTATGAATTATTAATCTTGTTATTATTATTATTATTATTATTATTATTATTATTATATTTTGGCCCCCCAGGCCCAATGTGGGTCAGTGACTTGTGCCCAGGTGGACTAAAAAAAAAAAAAAAAATTATGAAAACCGAAAAATTCCGAAATCCGAAATGCCTCTGGCCCCGAGGATTTCGGATATGAGATTGTCAACCTGTAGTAGTAATAGTTATGCGCCACAGGTTCATGTCTCCAAAGAAAAAAAAATTTACACTACAGTAGGCTCACGCCAATAACGACTTCCCCAATAACGTTTTCAACAATAACGGTAAGTTACAATAGATACCCATTTTCGATAATAACGTCTGGATTCTCTTGAATAACGGATATTTCGAAATTTGCGGGAAGTGTCCGAGCGCATCAATGATAGCGTTTGTTTGCCGCCATGGTGATGACGTAGCTGTCCGCTCCACCTCACTCTCACACAAGCTCCGTGGAATACACCGCTGCGCCCACATGTGAGATTTTCGCCTCCATAACCAGTGGTTGCGAGGGTCGGTGATCAATAATGGCTTCCACATTTTTGCCTGTGGGGGCTAGGGGAGGTGGTGGAGGGAGTGATTTGCTACCTGAATGCCCAAGAACTTTTAAAGTGAATGAGAAAAAAGACCCCAAAGCTAAGAGACAAAGCCACAAGAAGCGTGCCTACTCGGTCAAGGATGAAGAACAGATTGTTGAGCTCATTGAAAGTGGTGCACGGAACATTGATATTGTGAGGAAATTGAACTGTCCTGAGTCTACAGTGTGAAATATTAATAGGAACTTAGAGGAGACCAAGAAGAGTATTGCGCTGGCTAAGAAATATTTCGGTAGTGATCGAAATGCAAGGCAAGCTATGAATGATAAAAGTGATAGAAACAGGTTGTTAGTGATAACAGAGCATTTTCTTGTGAAATGGTTAGCTCGTAGAATGAAAGACAGAGCAAGTGTTAGCGGCCCTCACATACGGAACAATCATCACACCAAGCACCTCAAAAACTCCCCCAAGCTAAGTGTTATATTACTCAAACTCTTTATTTTGATGATTGAATAACAATTCTTTTTATTTCAGTGAACAAAAAGTGTTAGGCAGGGCTTCAAAGGGAAAAAAATGGGTGAAATTCTTGGGGCGGCAGCACCAATAAACCCTCTTTACATGTATTTTAATGTCACACAAATAACGTTTTCGTTAATAACGGCATTTTTCAGGCACCTGTTAGACGTTATTGGTGAAAGCCTACTGTATACTGTATGGGACCATTAAATTGTTTTGTCATTGTGTTTCTTGGCTTTAACACCATTTCCTGAAATTTTAGAATAAAAAATCTATAATGTTGCAGTGAACTGTGAATAGGTTTATACAGTACTGTTATAAAATGTTCAAGAACAATGGAGGGACCCCCTCAGCATGGTGGCCTCTATTAGGAGGCCATTAGGTAAAAAAAAGTAAAATAACATTGAATAAAAATCTTGCTCTGTTAAGACTCAATTTAATAATCAACAATCAGTTTATAAACAGTTCAATAATATGGTAACATTAAAACATACAAAGTTTTAGTCATAAAAATTATCCAGTGGTTTAGCACATTGCTCTAAACCTAGAATCCAGGGTCTCTGAGTCCAAAATTGATCACCAATCATATCTGTGTGTTCTGTAACTACTGTGATGCAGTGACCTTCCTCTTTCTCAATACTAGTGGCCTTGGAAGATATATTTCCTTGGCTATTACCACTCAAGTGCTCCAATTTACTTGCAGCCAGCTGAGATGAAGCAGCACCAATGCCTCGAGGATTTTGTCTAAACATGACAGTTCCTTTTCGGTACATTGCATCCTCCACATCATAATCTAGTCCAAAATCACTCAAAAGAATGGCTCTCTTATCTTTAGCAAAAGTCCCTCTTAACCTCTCCTCTGCTTCTTTACGAGATTTATTACCAACTTGCACTAGCATCCAAAAGCAAGTATTATACATGTTATTGATATGGCAGTCTGCTTGCCTCCAACTCAAGTAATCACATAAACATGAATTGTTTGGATACAAAACCACCCGAGCATCAAATGCTGGACTGTATTCTAAAGTGGTGTTTCCAAAAACATTATGCCAATTGTAAACATACGTAGCAGCAAACAAACTAACAATGTTGGACATTATCTTGTTTCCACGGCGGTCCATCATCTTTGAATATCTATCAATGACAAAAGAGTACTCATCACTTTGACCATAAGACAAGACAATGTCTGGGAACTTCTGCATCACTTCAAGAGCTGCTTTATTCATTAATTCAATTGATCTATTATCATTGGGTTTTGAAAAATTATGCCTCTCTGAAAATTTGTGGAAACCTTTTCCATCAATTCGCACAACCACCCAAGAATGTGGCAGCAATTTCGGTTTCCTCTCAAAATCCTTTAAATAATTTGTCTTTGCATTCACCTTTGTATGTTGTTCAAGGATAAAAATTTCCTTCCAAAAGTTGTCCTTGATGAAATCTGTGTACATGGTAATAACACGACTTTGGTTTCGCTGAGCTGTCAAACCATTTGGGGTAGTTACTGCCATTTGTATGGTGGTACGCAAAATAATAGAACCCTTTTTAAATACATCATCCTCTGTGTTGTAATTTATATTGCATTTTGAGAAAAGTATTTCATTTTGTTCTCCTTCCCTTTTACCATTTAGGAGAATAGTGGCATCTTCAGGTGAAAGCCCTACTTTCAACACCAATGCCCAAAACACAGTATTAAACAGATTATGGTGATGACATGTAAGTTGACGCTGGGTCATGTAATCTCGTAATGACTGATCATCTGGGAATAAGTGGATTGCACCTTCAATGACTGGTGGGCAACAAAGGGAAACAGACCTAAAATAACATGGCCAAATGTGTACTGAGGATGATGCCATTAGACTACACAAATTGGTTAAAAGTTTAGGGCCTCTTCTCTTGTACAATGATGAACTCTTTGGAAATACAAAGTTGAACTCTCCTAAAAAACCATATCCCATTACCAGCTCCTTGAAGTCCTCCATGACTGATTTTGCTGAAGCTTCCATGAGTTGAGTGAATCGAAGATCATTGGGTCGTTTAAAGCCATGTACCTTACAAAGTCTGTCATAGTTTTGACAATGTAGTGCAATGACAATCCAATGCCCAGGATCAAGTTTATCTTCTGTTTCGAAGGACTTGACATATTCAAACTTACTCTTTGCCATCTGGGAGACAGTGCATTTAAATTTTCTTTTGAAACACAAAACAGGCAGCCCTCTATGTACCAATCTTCTAAGAATATAAACCATCTGAACCTGCAAACAAATGAAGGAATGTCAACACTTATAAAAGACAAAAGTTTATAAAAGTTAATCTGCCTCTCCAAAACTGAACTGCCGTCTTTCAACCAAATGATTTAAAAAATTTAAATAAAGTAATATATATATACATACAGTATTACCCCGCTTTACACGGTTTCACTTTCCGTGATTTCTCATTCTGGCAGTACCTTAGAAACCGGACTTTCACTTTCACGGTGCATCTATATATACGGTGAAGTACTGTATAGTTTATTTTTATTTTTTATTTAGCTCATAAAATTCATACAAATTACCCGGCCAGAATATAATTTACATTGCTGGAATTCTTACAATATGATGATCATTTTCAATATAAACATCATGGATTTTGTATTAGACATACAAATTTTAGATCTAATGTAATAATTTGGTTTACACAAAACCAAATATTTTATCTTTTGTGCAAATATATGAAGTTTACATTCAAAATATTCCCTGACCTGCAAGGAATCCAGAAATGTCAATTATATTATCTAACTTTAGTCTGAGGTATTATTTATTACTAAATGTTAAAATCTAGTGGTTTCACCAAACATTTCTCAGAGAGGTAGGAGCTAGTGAGCTGGGAAGAGGGGGGCGGAGGTTGAGTCCATTATTTGAATGGACATTAACCTGGTGACTGTATTTCTCTTAAATATTAATTGTGTTGAGCATACCATCATAAAATTTAGATGTTATTTTTACTACAACATAGGTATTGTGTCGGAAAAAAGTGGAGAAGTTGGGTTGGGGGTAGGGAGTCTCTATTGAAATTAATCCTTATGTTCTGTTGTTCACTTTACCGAGGTTTCACTTTCCTCCACAGTACGTAAATACGTAAATTAGGGTTCTCTCTCTCTCTCTGTGTGTGTGTGTGTGTGTGTGTGTGTGTGTGTGTGTGTGTGTGTGTGTGTGTGTGTGTGTGTGTGTGTGTGTGTGTGTAATAATATGTATATAAGTGGTGGTTTTTGAAAAAAATTCTGCAGCCGAAGGCTGAAAATATACATTGGACATAAATGACTTATTACATACATTTGTGGTTTAACAAAAGTCTTCATTAGAAGAGTAAAGGAACATACAGTGAACATACAGATTAATGTAAGTGTTGAACAGCAAACTCGTAGTGTAGTAACTCCCTCCCAGATGGTGTTAGGAGGAACTCCGCTGGTGTAGTAGTTCCTCAGATGTTGTTATGAGGGACCTGGCGTGTGTAGTAATTCCCTCGCTGATGGTGTTATGAGGGGCCTCACGTGGTGTAGTAATTCCCTCACAGATGGTGGTATGAGGACCTCACGTGGTGTAGTAATTACCTCACAGATGGTGTTATGAGGGACCTCACGTGGTGTAGTAATTACCTCACAGATGGTGTTATTAGGGGCCTCGCGTGGTGTAGTAACTCCCTCACAGATGGTGTTATGAGGGCATCACGTGGTGTAGTAATTCCCTCACAGATGGTGTTATGAGGGGCCTGGCGTGGTGTAGTAATTCCTCAGATGGTATTATGAGGGACCTCCGTGGTGTAGTAATTCCCTACAGATGGTGTGATGAGGACTTGGCGTGGTGTAGTAATTCCCTCACATATGGTGTTATGAGGAACATGTGGTGTAGTAATTCCCTCACAGATGGTGTTATATGGTGAGGTTGGTCCCAGGCCTTCTACGTAGACGGATTAACACATGGGTGGTTGTTGTTGGGTCTCGTGGGGCCGTTATCACTGGTTACCTGGGACCTCACTGTGTGAAAGGTTAACTTAGGTGTGACTGTTACTGTTGAGTTGTTCTCACTGACTTAAGCACTGTTCACCCTGTTTACCTCAGTTTAACACTGGTTCCGTTCCTTTCCTAATGAAATTGTAACTTCTGGCGAGAACTTGATATTCCGGTGGGGAGGAGGGTTCAGGAGGGGGTTGGTATGGGCCAACAACAGTTGACCTGGCTGCTCGAGAGGCGCCAAGTGCGTCTTGACCGCCGGTGGTCAAGTAGAGTGTGTGTGTGTGTGTGTGTGTGTGTGTGTGTGTGTGTGTGTGTGTGTGTGTGTGTGTGTGTGTGTGTGTGTGTGTGTGTGTGTGTGTGTGTGTGTGTGTGTGTGTGTGTGTGTGTGTGTGTGTGTGTGTGTGTGTGTGTGTGTGTGTGTGTGTGTGTGTGTGTGTGTGTGTGTGTGTGTGTGTGTGTGTGTGTGTGTGTGTGTGTGTGTGTGTGTGTGTGTGTGTGTGTGTGTGTGTGTGTGTGTGTGTGTGTGTGTGTGTGTGTGTGTGTGTGTGTGTGTGTGTGTGTGTGTGTGTGTGTGTGTGTGTGTGTGTGTGTGTGTGTGTGTGTGTGTGTGTGTGTGTGTGTGTGTGTGTGTGTGTGTGTGTGTGTGTGTGTGTGTGTGTGTGTGTGTGTGTGTGTGTGTGTGTGTGTGTGTGTGTGTGTGTGTGTGTGTGTGTGTGTGTGTGTGTGTGTGTGTGTGTGTGTGTGTGTGTGTGTGTGTGTGTGTGTGTGTGTGTGTGTGTGTGTGTGTGTGTGTGTGTGTGTGTGTGTGTGTGTGTGTGTGTGTGTGTGTGTGTGTGTGTGTGTGTGTGTGTGTGTGTGTGTGTGTGTGTGTGTGTGTGTGTGTGTGTGTGTGTGTGTGTGTGTGTGTGTGTGTGTGTGTGTGTGTGTGTGTGTGTGTGTGTGTGTGTGTGTGTGTGTGTGTGTGTGTGTGTGTGTGTGTGTGTGTGTGTGTGTGTGTGTGTGTGTGTGTGTGTGTGTGTGTGTGTGTGTGTGTGTGTGTGTGTGTGTGTGTGTGTGTGTGTGTGTGTGTGTGTGTGTGTGTGTGTGTGTGTGTGTGTGTGTGTGTGTGTGTGTGTGTGTGTGTGTGTGTGTGTGTGTGTGTGTGTGTGTGTGTGTGTGTGTGTGTGTGTGTGTGTGTGTGTGTGTGTGTGTGTGTGTGTGTGTGTGTGTGTGTGTGTGTGTGTGTGTGTGTGTGTGTGTGTGTGTGTGTGTGTGTGTGTGTGTGTGTGTGTGTGTGTGTGTGTGTGTGTGTGTGTGTGTGTGTGTGTGTGTGTGTGTGTGTGTGTGTGTGTGTGTGTGTGTGTGTGTGTGTGTGTGTGTGTGTGTGTGTGTGTGTGTGTGTGTGTGTGTGTGTGTGTGTGTGTGTGTGTGTGTGTGTGTGTGTGTGTGTGTGTGTGTGTGTGTGTGTGTGTGTGTGTGTGTGTGTGTGTGTGTGTGTGTGTGTGTGTGTGTGTGTGTGTGTGTGTGTGTGTGTGTGTGTGTGTGTGTGTGTGTGTGTGTGTGTGTGTGTGTGTGTGTGTGTGTGTGTGTGTGTGTGTGTGTGTGTGTGTGTGTGTGTGTGTGTGTGTGTGTGTGTGTGTGTGTGTGTGTGTGTGTGTGTGTGTGTGTGTGTGTGTGTGTGTGTGTGTGTGTGTCCCCAGCCGTATATAGATTAGGCCGATTTTATGACCAGAAATCGTTAATTTATAATATTCCTCGTTTATAGGTCGAACGCGTTTTTGAGGA